GACATACATACACACAGCCCGGAAACCTCAACAATGACCAGTATTACAATTATAAGTTAGCAACAGGAGGATGAGGAGGAAGGACAGGGAGGAGGAGGGCAAGGTAGCAGCCAAATTATGGAATATTCTGGAACAACTCGAATGAAAAGAAGATGGACAACTGAAAGACGCATTTTTCACATGCTAAAATGCAGCAGAAAACTGGACAAAAAGCAGGAGTATCCACAATAAATTCATGGACAAATAAAGCAGGCAGAACATATTCAACTGGATAAGATAGGATGAGGGATTAATGTGCTCAACAAGATGAAGATATATGTAATCTGAAGGAAATGAGGAAACATTGAAAGAGAGTTTTGATTTGAAGGAAGAATGACGGAGAGCGAAATTTTAAGTCTAACCGACGGGCTAATTCATCTTTGCCAAAAAAATCATCGACTAGGGTCCAGCCATCGATGGATTTGAGGGCTTTCGTGGACTGTTCGAAGTTTTTTGGAACAGAATGTATATGACTTAACAGACCAGTTCTGGCTTTGAGATCTCCAATGTTTTTCAATGTCTTTCATGGTTTGAATGGGTAAGACAGGCATTATCAACTTGTTATACAGGTAAAAACTACCGTAGGAAAACTACTTTACCTGATTCCAGGAAAAAGTGGAAAATTCGCATTTTTGGATGTGAAAATAATAACAGATGTTTAACAAAAGGTCACAAGTAATCATTCATCAAAACAAAAGGTTTTCTCAACTTAGGCTGCGTTTCCAGTCAAAAAGTTGGGAAAAAAAGTAATTGCTAAAGATAATCAGTAAAATACCTGCCGCATTACATTCAGAAAACAAATCTATTAGATTTCCCTGTTAAAATTAAATGTTTTACGATTGTAACACAAAAAATTTGGCTACTATCAAAACAAACAGGCTTCTTGCCTGGAGCATCTGCTCTTTCATGAAAATGTTTTTAGCTGATTTCGTACTTGGTCATTCCTACGTATGTAAAATTCCGGGACACTAACTTCATCAATTCTGGAAAAAAAAGTAAGCATAAAGAAGGACAGTTTAGGCTAGGTTACAGTTTGCAAATGCATTCGAAGATAATTTAATGTTAATTTTCAATTAGCAGCAATTAAAAAACCAATTAAATTAACTTAATAATGTAGACACTATCAGTGAAAAATTCGACTCATTTCCAAGACAATTTTTCAAAAATCGCATTTAATCGACAGAATACACTAATTTTCATTCAGCAAAAATTAAAAAATTTTAATCGAATTACTCGATAAAAACGGGTGGCTTGAACTCAGAAGAAGAACTCATATTCGATTGAGGATTAAGTTTGGACGATATGATGACAATGATGATGACGATGATGATGATTGTGGTGATAATGATAAAAACAATGAAGTGCCTTAGGATGAAAAGAAATATATTTAGGCATGCAAAATAAGGAAGCAGGCAAAAGTGACAACAAATGCTTGTATCATTTTGTACAATTACAAAAACAAAAAAAAAAGACTCTGCTCAGATCAGTCAAAGAAAAAGAGTGGGCCAAGTAAAATGAGCAAATTAAGTGTCACAACTTTTTTCTGGATCATTTTTTTTCCAAGGTTTACCAGACCAGCGTCCACCAAGAGAAGCGACTGCTGGCGCAGACAGTAGCATCTATACGGGTTTGACAACAATAAGATTTTTTTCTGTCGGTTCAACATTCACCATTTCCTTCGCTTTCTTCTCCCATGCCTCGATATTTGCATGCACCTCATTCGTATTCCTCAGCACAATCGGATCCGGCTCACCATATTTCGGGGGATTTGCATTCGGATCATATCTACAACAACATAATTACATTTAGCCAACAGGAAAAATTTCTCCCTCGCATAACCTATTCTGGTATATTTCGTCGATCTTCGACAGCACGCCACCTGTGCTGATAAAACAGTACGTTAAAATATAAAAGAGAAATGAAATGGATAAATTTTAAATTTCATGAAATTTTTAAAAGTTTTAAAAACAAGGAAAAAATTCCGGCATTTTAAAAAGTTTAGAAACTAAAAACTGAAAAAAAAAACTAAAAATTCACCAAGAGAAGTTTTTACTCGTTCTTCAGTTTAAAACTACAAAAATTTTTTAATTTTTTTTAACCACAAATTTAATACCGCGAACACCCAGTATTCAGTGCGGGTATACAATTGACAATTTCAAAAAAAAAAATCCACAAAACTCGAGCGAGCAAAAAAAAACTGTTGCAAAATTGATTTTTTTTGCACAATTCAGTAATGAAACGTTCACGAAAACACAGTTTATTGAAAACAACTTATAAATTTTGAAAAATAAAGGTGTTGAATTTCTGGGGTTTTTTGCATTAAAGTTGACGCCCCAAATTATGCTACAATTATTCCAACCACTTTTTCAAATGAAAACTTCAACACAAATACACATGCATAAATATATATAGATTTACAAACAGACACACACACACACATACATACAAACACATACACGTACATACGCACAAACATATACACAATGCACATACACAATACAGAGAGTTTACAAACAAAAATGTTATTGCCTTCATTTGAATCAAAAAAAAAAAGAAATTCGAACGAACCCAAGCTCAGCAAGCATCGGTGCAATGGTGGCCATATCCTGGACAATATCGTCGGGGAACGTTCCCACCCATTTATTTAAGGCATCCAGATTTACTGGTTTGATCACTTGATCCGTGGATCTTTCCACTCTACAAATAAATTATTTCTTTTTTCGGAAATTCGAAATCTCCTGATCAATTTCCCACACCGATCGAGTACTGATAATTTCTGGGATGAGAACTGATTGCATCCAACACGTGTCCGGGATAATTCA